ATCAGAGTCTAGAATCTTTCTGTCCATTGCCCGTCTTAAAGGGATGAGATACATGGGTTCCCTTCTTTGGCCTGGGAGAGATGTTCTGATTGTGGACACTGAACTGATGGATATAACCATGCCCAGAGCCAAGAGCTAGAGGCTACAGAGGACAGAAGCCCAGCCCTCCTGAGCCCCTGGAGGCTGCTGATGCCGGGGCTGCTTCCTGTCCCTCTGCATCCAGCTTACTCACCAAAGCCCCAGGGAGGGGGAGCCTTCAAGGAAGATGCTGCAATCCTGTGTTTCCTCCTAACCCAAAGACTCCCTTAATTGGAAATTCTGCTGGGCTTGAATTGGAGCCCAAGCCACTCCCGTTCAGGGTCTCGACTGCCTATTCACCAAGCCTCCAGCTCTCCCCAGAGCTTCCTGTACACAGCCAGCAAAACAGTGCGTAGGAGAGGCTAGGTACCAGTTTCTCATTCCACAAGCACAGGCCAGCTACGGACGGAGCCTAGGGACCTTCTTGGTGACAGAGCCACACATTCAGATGCATGGGTGCACACAAGGGCAAGGGCAGGGAAAGTAAGAGAGCAGTCAAGAGTATCTCTGCACCCCACAGGGAGATTTCAGGGGACGTGCTCCTCACTAAGTATCCATTGCTTTGTCTAAAAAGCTGAGCATGTTGACTGGCAGTGGTTTCCACTGCTCCGTGCCAATCACTAGCTCGTTACCTCCTAACCTCCTCTCTGCCCTATGAGGCATGAGGATCCCACAGTCAGATGGGGAAGCAACTTGGGCAAGGTCACACAGCTGGTCCAAGAGGTAAAATGTCATCTCAAAGTCTTCTGATTCAGTATTCTGTTCACGGTTGACCCAAGATAGCCCTGGTTCCCACCGGTCACAACCATTTGGAGGGACTGAAAAATGATCGGGATTGAGTGCATGATGCAAAATTTCCAAAGAATCAAGAAAGAAAGAGAGAGAGAGAGAGAGAGAGAGAGAGAGAGAGAGAGAGGGAGGGAGGGAGGGAGGGAGGGAGGGAGGGAGGGAGGAAGGAAGGAAGGAAGGAAGGAAGGAAGGAAGGGGAGAGAGACAGAGAATGAATGAATGAATGAATACAGGCATTTGTAGGAAAACAATCAAAATTCAAATGAATCCTACAGTTTAGTGGATGATAATGTGCTGATGTTGTATTGTATGTCCATGTGTGTTCATGTAGATACACACATGCATACAGACACATGCACCCACATGTACATGTGTAGAAGTCAGCAGACATCAGATGGTATTCTTCAGCCACCAGCTGCCTGGCTGGCCAGCAAGCCCCCAGAATGCACCTGTCCCTACCTCCCCAACAGTGGGGTTACAAGGACATCATCATACCTGGCTTGTTTGCTTGTATGTGTGCATGCTTGTGTGCGTGCCTGCATGTGTGTGTGTGTGTGTGTGTGTGTGTGTGTGTGTGTGTGTGTGTGTGTGTGTGTGTGTGTGTGTGTGTGTGTGTGCTTTATTATGGTTCTGGAGATCGAACTCACATCCTTATGCTTACCAGGATAAGCACTTAGCTGACTGGGGTAACCTCTCATTTGACAAATGCATTGCGTCAATCTAAGAAGTCAACATTAAAGATTTGATGGAAGGACATGGGAGCTCTTTGTATCTCCTCAAAACTTTCATCTTCTAAGACTTATTTGGTCAGTAATTCAGTGTACATGGGAGGGCTGTGCATGTGCCCGCCGAGGGAGAGAGAACATGGGATTCCCTGGGGTTATAGGAGGTTACATACTGCCTGATCTGGGTGCTGGGAACCAGACAAGAGTGCTGGAAACTGAACTTTTGTCGTCAGCAAGAACAGTATTCTCTTCCAACCACTGAGCCACCTCTTTGGGCCCCTCCTCACAACTTTCCTGCAAACTTAAAATTACCCCAACATAAAGTTGGGTCTTTCCAAAAGTGTTCCCTTTACTGCATAAAAGTATTCATGGTTGGACAATGAGTTGTATGGTCACCTGCTCATTGGCCTGGTCTGCCTCAGTCAGTTTGTGCTGCTGTAACAGAATACCTCACTGCAGCTTATAGCTACAGGAAGTTATTGCTCACCTTTCTGAAGACTGACAAGTCAAAGCAAGTTTGACTTTAGATAGACCATTCTCTTTCATAATGGCAGCTTGTATACTCTAGCCTTTGGAAGAGATAAAGGCTGGGTTGTAATGTCAGAGGCAAACAAGGGATGGAGAACTTGCCAAGTCAGTAAAGTGTCTGTCACACAAGCATGAGGGTCTGAGTTTAAACTCTGGCACCCATGCAAAAAGCCAGGCATGATGGTTCCTATTCATGATCCTAGCACTGGCAAGGCAGAATCAGGAGGATCCCTGGGGCTCTCTGGGCAGCCAGAAAGCTCTGGGGCCTGCTGAGAAATACTGTTTTAAAAGGCAAGGTGGACAATAGCTCCTGTGAAATGACACCTGAGGTTGATCTCTGGCTTCCATGTGACATCTGTACACATGTTTGTGTACATGCAACACACACGCTGTGGGACTGGGGGTGGCAAACTCACTCTTTTCTAATGACTCAATCACTTCTCAAAATTCCCACCTCTTGAGACTGTTACTACAGCAATTACATTTCCCCACAAGTTCAGACAGGAGAAACAGTCTAACCCTAGCGGCCCCTAACCAAGACGTCATAAGAAAACCACCCTTAATTTCTTTCCTGTTTTGCAGTACTAACTGTCACATTCACAACAATTTGAAGTTTAAGGTTATACAGGATAAAACCTTGGAATCAGAAAGCTTGGGTTCAAGACTTTCGTGGTGTTGGGTACTGTTACGGTTTGAAACAGAAATGTCCCCACAGGCTCATGTTTTAAATATTTATTTATTTATTATTTTATGTGTATGTACATGCACCTGGGTATATATGTACATCACATTCATACATGAGCCTGCAGAATCAGAAGACATCACATCCCCTGGAACTAGAGTTGAAGGCAGTTGTGGGTAGTAGGAACCAAGGCCAGGTCCTCTGCAAGAACAGTGAACACTCAAGCCATCTCTCCAGATGCCATGCTCTTCAAATGCCTGCTCTCCAGCCCGTGGACTATTTTGGAAATTGTTGGAGGTGAGGCCTAGCTTGTAAAAGGTCACTAGGTGCCCCCAGGTACTCGTGGCCCACTTCCTGTCTCACTCTCTGCTTTCCGGCCCATGCAGGAAGAGCTGATGCCTCTACCACACTCATGGCCACCAGGAACTGTGTTGCTCTGCCATGCCTTCCCTTCCTCGACAGACCGAAACCCTCAAAGCTGGGTGAAAAAAAACCAGTCTCCTCTGTTTCTGTCATATAATGGCATCATCAAGGCACAAAAAAGTGAGGAATGCAGGCATTCTGTATTCTTTGAGCTCAGTTTCACGTCTGTCAAATCTGTTAGATGTCATTGACTGCTGGCATTATTGTGCCTGTACTTGGTGTTCACACTGTAGTGAGTACTATAAAGAAACTTCCAGATTCTGCTTCAGGACCCAAGGACTTCCTTCTCCCACCCTAGCCACTTGGAGAATCACAGACTCCCAGTCCTCTCTAGGGAGAGGACCTGGGCCAGCCCTCAGGCCACCAGTCCTTTCTGAAGAGAAGGCTACATTTCCACATACAGGGTTTGGTCCAACTCCCCAAATAGGGTTGACATCCCTCCACAGAGAACCCCACCTGGTTGATGGAAGCCTTTGTGGAGATCTCATTGCTGCTCAGCCTCCCCTCCAGCCCCATCCTGTTCCTTCCCTCTTCCAGAACATTGATCCTAAGAGTGCTCCCCATAAACATCCTCCCACACTGGGATCCCCATCTGAGAGTCTGCTTCCAGGGGACTCACCAAGAGCACCTCACCTGCACTGGCTTTCTCCACCCTGGACAACTAAGAAGCAGTGACACCACGCAGGGAAATGCAACCCTTCTGGGTGAGTGACTAGACAAAGCTTCTTACTACTGTGAGTCTCACTGAGCACAAGAAACCTTGTAAGGTGGCTAACGGCATGGGAGGGGTCGATATTGTTTGACACACACTGGAAGACAACACTGACCTCCATGTGTTTTAGAATGAGAAGACATCCGGGGATAGAATGGAGATGCTAGGGTGGGTGGTGAGCAGGGGACAGGGCCAGCAGATGCACAGGAGGCAGGCTGAAAAGGTGAGCAGGGCTGAGTGAATTGAAGCGTGGCCAATGGTTGGAGGGAAGAGTGGCTAGGTGTGGAGGTGGCTAGATGGCTGGATGGTGGAGGGGTCATTGGGTGACTGAGAGCAGGTATTTGAATGAGTAAAAGCGTGGCTGGGTGGCGGAATAAATGGAAGTAGCTGTAAGCAGTGCGGTGGATGAGTGGATGGATTCATTACTGGCTTTTACAACAGGCGAAGTAGCTGACTAAAGCGATGGCTGGCGGATGGGGGGGCGGATATGTGGGCAAATAGATCTGCGAGCAGTTGGATCAGTGGTTGGGTAGATATTAGACAGTCATGGACGGTTGTGAGGATGAAGGCGAGTGTGGTTGGATGGATGGATGGTTGCTAGGGTCGATATGAAAAAGACTGACTGGAAGTGGTTGGATGGATAAAAGGGTTAGGTGGATGGAGGCGCTGAGTGTTAAAGCTGTGAAGGGATTGGAGGGATGTGTCTGTGACTGCTAGATTTGGTGAGTGGACGGACAGATGGATGGATGGATGGATGGATGGATGGATGGATGGATGGATGGATGGACAAATGAGCAGGTGAATGAGTGCATGGTGGTATAGTGGGGTGGGCAAACATTAAGTAGAGTGGGTAAGTGGATGACTACTGAGCAAAGCTATTATATTAGATGGTTATGTGAGAATAAGATATGCCAAGGGTTAGGATTGGGTGGGTGGCAGCCTCTGAGTGGATGACTGAGGCACGATGTGTAGCTAGCTAAATGCATGGGTGATTTGCACAGTAGAGAAATGCAGGATCAGGCTTGGCAGGGAGGTGGGGTTGTGGGTTCCCACCAGCTCTTACCTGGAGGCGGCGATCTCGGCCTTCTGGCGGGCAATGGCTGCTGCCCGCTGCGCGCCCTCGACGCCATGCTCCACCTTCTGGCGTACCTTGTTGCTCTTGAGCGGCAGCACGCGGCGCTTGGTGCCCTTGACCAGCACGTTGTGGCGGTACTTGCCCTCCTCACGGTGGCCGTCTGGCAGCGTGGTGCGGCCGTAGCCATGGCGCAGGTTGTCCAGCCACTCTCCCTCGTAGCGCAAGCCACTAGAGCGCTCACTCACGCCAAAGCCTGAGCGCCTGTCGTTCTTCCACTCGCCCATGTAGGTCTCCGTGGTGGTGGCGTCGATGTCGGCTTCGAAGGGCGCAGCCGTGTCGTCGGCGCCCTCGGCCCCCTCGGCCAGGCTGCCGGTGGACGCTGCATCGCTGGCGCCCGAGCTCAGCTCGCTCTTGAGGAAGCTCAAGCGGCTGCGCTGGCTGCCCAACGACGTGCGCGACTCTGAGCGTCGCAGCCGACCCAGTAGTGTGCCACGTGTGAACAGCCCCGGGGGACGCGCAGCCTCTGCGGTGGCTAGCAGGCTGAGCGCGAAGCCACCTCGCGGTACCGGGGGCGAGGGCAGCACGGGCCCATCTGCCGCCGGCGAGTCCGGAGCCACCGTGCCATTGCTGTGCTCACTGCGCAGTGAGGACAGCGACGTGCGCAGCGGGGAGCGCACCACCACTGCCATCCCATAGGGCACACTTTGGCGCACGCCGTAGCCATGCCGCATACCGTTGGTGAACTGGCCTTGGTAAGTCCCTGCGGGGCGAAGACAAGTGTGTCGGTTAGACGGCAGGGGCTCGATAGCTCGCCCCACCCACGCCCCCGACATTGACAAGACAGGCCCAGAGACAGCAGAGGCCATTGCAGGAACAAGGAGTACATGCTCCTATGCCTACCTGGAGGGTGGCCTCAGTAAGATAAAGGTAGGGACCCTAACATGCTGTGACCTGGTTGTCTATGGGAGGGACAAGTAAGCCGTTGTGTGTACCTGGAGACTGACCTCAGTAAGCTACAGGCAGGGCCAAATGTGGGCAAGACAGGAGGGCACCATGACAGGACTGGGCCGTCAGAGGAACAGAGTGTGTGCTGTTGTGTCTACCAGAGAATACGAGTATGCCAGACATGCGAGTGGGCAAGCCAGAGGGGGGGTGTGGCAATCAACACTGGTGGGTGATGCTGAGTCGGAGAGTAAGTGTGAAGCCGCGCGATTGATTGGTCCAGGTCCCGGTACTCGGGGATGTTAAAGGAAGATGCCAATCCAGGAACGAACATACAAGAGCAATTTGTGGAATGATATAAACTCTTGCACTATGGGAACATGCCGAGGTCACAGGTATGCAACAGGGTGTGGGGTGTGTGAGTCACTGTGTTACAGTGTAGCTATCCAAGTGTGAACTCTACTTGGATGAGTGCCCAGATTTTGGATTACAAGGACGAGCGGCAGCTCTGTGCAGCACAGATTTTGGATTACACGGACGAGGAGCGGCAGCTCTGTGTAGCACAGATTTTGGATTACACGGACGAGGAGCGGCAGCTCTGTGCAGCACAGATTTTGGATTACACGGACGAGGAGCGGCAGCTCTGTGTAGCACAGATTTTGGATTACACGGACGAGGAGCGGCAGCTCTGTGTAGCACTGTGGTTGGTGCGGATTGGTGCAAGGCAGGGTGCACGCAGCATCTGAGGGCTTGTGAGAAACGCACAATGGAGGTAACTCCAGCCTGTGGGTTCAGCCCTGGGTGGGAATTGCAAGGAAAGGCAGGACTGAGTGGTCACGCAAGACCGTGTGGGGTCCGAAGAGGAAAAGGGGTGTGAACAGGCAAGACCCCATTGTTACACGGAGTGAATGCATGGCTATCCTATTGTCCAAGGTGATGTGACTAGTGAGGGCCATGAACAGATAAGACAGCAAGTTTTCAGAGCAGTGTGAATGTTGAGAAGCGTGCGTGCGTGTGCGTGTGTGTTTGCGTGTAAGAGCCTTGTGTGTAGGCGTGTATCTTTGACTACATGCTATCACAGGTGCGATGGTCAGTGTGCACAACACAGGAAGCCAAGTGCCCATGGTCCCATGGAAGTGACATTATGAATGTGCATGGAGTTCCAAGTGTGCAAGGCCACCTGAGCACTGCAGCACGAGGCCAGGGCACTTGAAACAGTGAGTGTGTGGCTTGTGGGCATCAGTCAAGCTGATACCATGGAAAACCGAATGCACAAATTGGTGATATGTACGGGAGCTGCCAGCAGCCAAGGGCCCATGTGGGCACAAGCAGTCCAGCCCGTGGGAATGGGTGTATGTCGGCAGGCCACCCAAGTCTTGTACAAGTGGAGAGGCCTATAGATTCCAAGGACTGACTCCACCCTTGCTGTGTGACCGTCGGCATCTAACCTGACCTCCCTGTGTCTCAGCTTTCCTCTCTGTCAGAAAGAGAAAGCAGTCACCTCTGAATTCACAGGGTTTCAGGCTTAAGGAGTCTCTGACTCTGGAAAACTGGAAGAAAAGATCCGTGCTTGATGCGGTGGTTTGAGACAGCCATGTCAGTATGTAAGGTCGCCAGAGCTCTGTGAAGAAGCTGGTGCGAAGCTACTCCCATCCTACCCACAGGGCTCCACCCCACAATGGTTCCATGTCAATGATATCATCTAGTGCTTTATAACCATGGTGCGTGTCCTGCTGACCTCCAATAATATTCCTGGCCCCAGTTCCAGATGTCAGTCTGGAGACAGATGTCCTCTAGATCACACACACCACACACACACACACACACACACACACACACACACACACACACACCTTCTTAGTCTTTCCTACAGTAGCACTGAAAGTCAGTCCTCTGCCACTACCTCTTGAGCTGTCATGCAAACAAGTACTGTGACATCAATGTCCACAGCCCTGAAGTGGCCAGTCCGAGCCTTTTCTGCATCTTGAGAGTCCCTCACATATGTGTAGTAAAGGCTTGGTCTCCAGAGTGGCTCTATTCACAGGAGGACCCTTTAAGAGGCAGGGCCTAGTCAGAGGTCATGGGGGTATGTCCTTCCTTCTCTTACTTCTTGAAGTGAGCAGCCGTACTCTCCTCCCATGATCATCGCGTCACAATATAGACCTGACAGCAAAAAGGCCACCCAGACCATGGACAAGATCATCCCCAAACCAGAACCTTTAAAACATGACAAGAAAGGAAAGAAGGACACTCCCCTGTGATCTAAAAGCCTGCTAGGCCCCGCCTCTTGAAGGCTCCATTACCAAAGTTGATGACTTTCATTTGAATAGATCAATAAAACAGGAAAATTCCGGAAACAAACAACGGCACCCAGTAGTGATTTTGGAAATTCCCACCAGGGAACATGCAAGTGGATCTAGATCGGCCCCTTCAACATCCTTGCTTGGACTGGGTGGTTAGAGTCGCTGTTCACCATCCTGGGCCAGCAACTGGCTAGCAAATCAGAGGGCTCCTGTCCAAATACGCAGACAGATCGCCCCATTCTGCCCCTTCTCATGCCAAGGAGTGAAGCTGAAGCCCTAGTGGCCACTCAATGCCCCCCAATTCCATCCCCACCACTTCTCTGTCCTCACCTCCTCCCTGCACTCCAGGCTTAGAGGCCTCTCGGGTGTTCCCGCCCTCACCAGCAGCGGTCCTCCTCAGGCCCGGCTTGTGTGCCCTTCCCTCTGACCAGAACATTCTTCCCTCAGGTACCCACATGGTCCACTCCCCTGCTGTCTTCAAGCCCTCAGGCCTGTCATCAGTCCTGACTCTCCACACCAGGTTTCTATCCCTGTCTTGCCTCAGTCCTCATGTAGCATAGATAAACAATAGGCAATCCTGCGTGCACTGCCCTCACGGGCAGGAAACTCAATAAGGGCAAGCATTCCAGTCTATCCTGTTTATTGTGGAGTCCGCAGTGCCCAGAAGAATGAGGACTAGGGACTCGATGCAAATATTTTGCAGGACTGAATGGAATGTGTCCATCCTACAACTTTTATTTTCTTTTTGCTTTAGCTGTGAAAATGCCTGGAGAAACGTTAAGGCTCGGCAAGGATGAAAGACACAAAGATGAGACAGCTCATAGGTCACCACAACCCCGTACCTAGCTACACTCCTTCCGTTTCTCCAAAGAGAATGGGGGCAATGGGAAGCAGGGAAAGGAGTGTGACCAGGGCAGAGAAATGGGGGCAGAGAGGATATCTAATCTCCAGGTTGGAGAAGTTTGTGAAATTGAATCCAGCAACCTACCTGTAGCTAAAATTTGGCCTGAGATGGGCTGACAGGGTCCCTTTAAGCCCAAGAAAATCTGAGACTGCAACAGAGAACCGCTCTTGGCCACCAGTTGGGAATGAAACAGTATGGCTATATTAGGAAACTTACAGGCATGTAGCAAGAGTCACCAACACCCAGGGGAGATTGATAGTGACAGGGCCCTGGGGAGAGAGAGACAGCTATGGAAAGGCCGTCTCTCGGTGTGTCTAAGACAGGGCGGTCCTCCCTGGGGACAGAAGGCCCACGTCTGCAGCGAGAAGCTTCCCAGCAATTACGTGGCTGAAAGCGCAGTAGGCAGGGGTGCCCCCTCTGCTGCATAGCCTTTCTTATCAGGCATTGCATTGCTCTAGTGGCCCCCAAGGTCCCCGGCAGCTACACAGCCGACACCGTCACCTCAGTTTGCCCTGTTCTCTAGTCACCTTCCTTCCTAACTTAGAACCTTTGCATGTCCTTCTCTTTATTTTTCTTTTGGTTTTGTTGTTGTTATCACTGTTTGCTACAGGGTCTTATTATACAGACCAGGTTGGCCTTGAACTCACAGAGATCCACCTCACAAGTGCTGAGATTAAAGGCATGTGCACCATGCCCAGCAATTTTGGGGGGTTTTGTTTATATTTTATGCATATGAGTTTATTGCCTGCACGTTTGCCTGTGCAGCATGTGCATGCTATGCCCACAGAGGCCACAAGAGGGCATCAAATCCCCATGTGGCTGCAGTCACAGAGAGTGTTGAGTCACTGTGTGGGTACTAAGAATCAAACACTAGTCTTCTCGAGAAGAAGCCAGTGCGCTTAATCGCTGAGCCAGATGTCCAGCCTCCTTTTGTTTTTTTGAGACAGGTTCTTCTACTGTAGCCTAAGGTGGCTTGGAGCTCACTGTACAGCCCAGACTAGCTCCTGGCAATCCTCCTGCCTCAGTCTCCAAATTGCTGAGTTTACAGACATAAGCTACCTGTCCCCAGGTTATTCGCTCTTTCTTGACCTTCTTGTTTTCTCCCTCTCCCTTGGCCATCTTTGACATTTCAAACTTGAGCTTGCACGCGAAATCATCCAGGGAAAGTTCTGGAACCCCTTCCTCAAGTGCTGCCCAAGACAGCCTCAGCACCCTTTTAACTCTTTCCCCGAGTGCTGTGTATAATCCTGGTGATTGGTTCCCTGTAAGCCTTCCCTTCCCTGCAGGACTTCAGCTTCCAGGCAGAAAGGAGTAGTGTCTAGCTCATTCCCACGACATTCCTAACATCCTGCACAGTTCCCAAGGCCAAAGAAGCCATTGGCAAACATCTGGTGCACGACTGTTTTCCTGACCATACTGTTAGATTGGTCTGGGAACAGTATTCACTTCTTTCTCAACCTGTGATGAAAGAGGCACTAAAAGCAGGTGGCATTGAGCTCTAGATCCAGCAGTACAAACCCTGGGAATGAGGCCTATCTGGGATACAGTCACAGCATGACCGCGGCACATGCCTCCCTCACACCATGACCGCGGCACATGCCTTCCGGAAGA